GTTTTAACCGAATGCATGCTTCATGTCGTAGCCTGGTTCATTGGAATGATTTAAGAATGATGTTTTGTTTGTGTTCTGATACCAAAAGTAAACTCGATGCGGAGGCTGATCAGCCATGGTCTTGGTGTAAACAGTATGGTGGCGATTGGACAAGCTGACGGGGTGTAGGCGACCTGATCCGTGGTTTTTGCCACTCGGGTATACATTTCTGATCAGGTTGGCTCCCATCAGTCTGACATAACTTATGCCAGCACTGCACACCAAAATTGTCGCTAGCCATGATATGATGGATCACATTTGAACAGCACAGAATGACTGGATCTTCACTTGGTGTGATTGCGTCCGATCTTGGTCAGTTTGATTAAACAGTTCAACATTCTCTTCACCTCCACTTTAGTTACCATAATAAGTCCTTTAATCCGCTCGCAGATATCGTGTGCACCCACCATCATCCTTGTCCCGCGCTCACGCAACATACTATTCACGAATGTAAGTAGTAGCTCACAGTAGTACTATCCCTTTCCAGCAGTGCTGGTTGACGAACTATTGTAATTATGAATGGAATGGGACACGCTCTGAACCTGTTTTTCACCATATCGCTTCAGCGTTCACAGATTTCCCGCGTTAGATTATTACATAACCTAGACTGGGGCTGTGTTTGTGTGTGCAATATGTTCGGTCGTCCCAGTTGTCACGTCCACTAACCCTGCACTTCTCTGCGCACCGATTTCGGTTACGGTCTTTGGGATACTCAATAAGGAAAGAGTAAATGAAAAAAACAATTAAAAAGCTGAGATCATTATCAAGACAATAACCACAAAAACTGTGCCCTAATAAGCAGTCAAATAATACCCCGAATACTCTCTAGCATCACTTAATCGATGACTAGAACACTTTAAGGCTTACCTAGTCCGATTAAATTCCAGGATTAATTAGATCCACCAACTTCTACCCGCTCCGGTACATGCCAGCTCTATCCATCCATCTGAAAAGGAAGTAACTGGGGAGATGAGGTTTCTTGAAGAATATACATGCCGATGACTATAAATCATGAGATCATATGAAATGGACGAGGAAAAAAGATGTACCGGATTCGAGAAGCATTCATTTCAATCAGGAATGGAACAGACAGGAGTGAAAATGTCATCAGAGTTTGTGATTTCCGGCGGATAGACTAGAGAAAGGCTCGTCACAACAAATGTGAGATAACCACTTTTTGTGATTATGGTAGTATCAGTGCTTAAAACATGATACGTTACTTGCATCATCCTAATTCGTGTGGATTCTGCATTTCTTCATTGTCGACCCGGTGTCACATGTCTGAGAATTGAGGGTATTTTATTGTTCGGATAAGCAAATGAGCCGAAAATCCGTACTGTCTACGTACTTTACTTTACTTTACTGCGGCTGGCTCCTTGGAAAGGGTAACCGGGCTCCAGACATGATCATGAAGTTCCTTGGACGTTTGGTAAAGGAGGCGTCCTCAGCGTCACTCGGTTTTTTTATTTTGAGGGCGGACCTCTATCCGTTGCACAACCAAGTGTGAACTGAAAGGCATCAGGAAGTAATTCCTCTCCTCGGAAGTGAGGGGGTCAATGACTTTAGTTTTTAAAGGCCAGTCAAATCGACCTTTGTCATGGCATCGTCATTGGGCTTTTAAACAGGATCCTGGTGACCAGCCTGAAACCCATCACACCCCGGTAGTGCCGCCACTGTTTGTTTGCGACTGTTTATTTGTTGCGGTATGCCACAACTTATTCCACAGCCAATCTTTTTCGGTGAAGGTATCCCCCTATCCACAACCCGGAGATGCGTATGGTAACACTCAGCTCTGTTTAACCCTAGGATATCCAGGTACTATCTACCCATGGTCACGGATAATGGTCGGTACCGCAAGTGTGCGTAAGCACGGCCGAGAATTTTTTGCTTATTCCTCTCGTCATTTTGTTTCGCTAAGCTTTCCCAATTGTTTCCCTATACACTGTTGACAGTGCGAATGATCTCAACCAATAGCGATACATTTCCCTCGCAGATTTATGCTTGAATGAAAGAAGCGGCATCCAAACTCTGAGCGTTTAGCTTCAATTACATCGATCGGGTAGAATATTCAGTCTACCTACGCCGCGTACCATTTTTTTGAACAGGTTGGATTTGGTAGGCGCAACCGACACATTCTATACAAAGCAGTGTTGGATGCTGATAGGATGAAAACAACGTTTACATATGAATGAGTTGTTGCTCATCTGCACGTTTCCTCAGTCACGTGAATTTCTCAACGGATATACAAACTGCCAGCTGATTTTTTCATCACATGATTACATTGATATCCTCCTCGAGCTGAGCGAATCACGCAAAACAGATCATTCAAAATTGTACCTGCTCAACTTAGTTGTTTGATTTTTCTATGGTAATAAATCATTTCCGTTTGGTTGTTTCCTCTTCTCTATTCTAGATTAACATTGAGAGCAGAGTGTCGAGTATTTTGTAGCTGGATTTTTTTAAATCAAGAATTAGCGAAATTGTAGTTGTTCAGTTCATTTCTTGCTTTAAATACATTTCCCATAAGATCACCTATCCGATTACCTTGGCTTGAAGATCATCTTCATCTGATCTCAGGCAGTAAGATGCGGTCCTGATAACATTTTACCACTATCTGGAATGTGGCACACTTTGCTCACGTGACCCCGGCGGATAATTGATTGATTGATATCTAGTTGACAGCACAAATCACACACTCATCCCAGATGTGGTTCTTTTTTGCTTTCCGTATGTGACACCAAATGGAGGAATTGTTTGAACTGTCTTAATTAATGAAAGATTCGATGTACACTGATTACTTTTTCTCAAGCTAAATCTTTCATTAATAACACTCTCCGTTGAGATGCATGATTGTGCTTCGCCCCCCTCCCCCCCACTGCATTTCAATTGTTCTGTCGAAATTTGCAGTTTTTTACGCAAACATACATATAGGATCCAAAAGCTGAAAAGACGAACAGATGTTCTCTCTTTTAAATGGCCCATGCAACTCCAGCTATTGTCAGCTCTCACATTCATCGTTCGACTTTTCTGGTATGCCAGTTTCGAATGAAAAGCGGTATTTTTCAAGTGTATGTGTGGAGTGGTGGTGGCGCAGTGGTTTAGTCGTCGTCACCGACATGTTTTGAACCCTATCGTCCCAGTTTCGAGCCCCGCCACTAAACCTTCAGTTGTAGGTTACTTTGCTGTCGTCCAGTTCAATACCTCGCCTAACTAAATGGAGCCTTATATGGTTCGACACTCCGAGTCTCAGGGCTTAAGTTATCGGTTTCTACCACTGAACAGCAGGTTCTGGTGACTATGGGGCTTTCCTCGTTTGTTGTACTGTGTAATAAGAAAATTTCGACACCTCGTACTTAATCACATCGACAAATGGTTTTTTCCTTGAAACCCTATCAGGTCATTTGGACTTGACACAATGCAGTGAGATGAAGGTGCAATACATCGTGGGGATGTGAACATACCATAAATATGTAAGCTTCTACCGATGGATCTCATAGGGCCTTCAGTTGTGTTTATTGCCTTGTTGACTATCGGGCCGGGTGGGTTTTTCGACTTAATACATTCAATGAGCCACGTGAAACGATGACGGGATAGCAGCTAATTTAAATGGGAGTTGTTGGTCTGTCCAACTGGATGGGAGCTATCTAATGAAGTACGAAAAACTACCCTCAGCGATCGAGAGCAAAACCCGTGCGCTTTCGTTTGTGTCCATTTGATGCATTTTCTGGCCGATAAATGGTTTCTTGTTGTGTATGTTTGGTACTGTGACCGCTTCACGGGTATATACGATTGCTACAGTGAAATGTTTGCATGTGTTCAATTCGCACGCTTTATCAGTCTGACTTTAAACCATTATTTTCTCAGATTTTTACCCTGAAAAATTCATTCCTTATAGTTCACTGGGCTGCGGGAGCACGCAAACGTTACACTGCATTAGGGTGTTGTTTCGTCATTTTACATGAAACTGGAATACTGTTTCTTTGTTGTTCTCATTTACATAATCTAGTGTGATTAACGACGTACCGGATAGACCTCATAGTCACGAGGATCTGTTGTTCAATGATGGAATCTGGCACTCTAAAACCTGGGGATTTGGAGTGGCGAATCACAAGATCCAGTCAGTTCAGCCCGGACAATAGTAAAGCTGGTGCTTCATATCCCGGTTTAATCCTCGTATTCCATCACTCCGGGCCACGTCAGTGACAACGAATTAAACCGCTGCACCACAACTACCACGGGTTAATATGATCTACTCATCAGTCCGGAACAGGTCAGATGTCCAAATTGTGCAAAGAAAAAACAGCTGTGGCAGTGGGGGGTAGGAGGAATCCACTACTTGCGTTTGTTTGCATGCTGTCTGTTTGCTTCTTTATTGCGTACCAGCCAGGACAACGTAAGGGCTCTCCGTAAACCTTGTCGCTTTTCGCTGTTCTGTTCTATCGGGAAGCAAACCGTTTCAACCGATTTGTAAACTTGATCCCCAATGCCCGTTTCAAATAGATTGTTTTTTACGCACTCAAGTGTGATGAACAGCAGACGGGGCGAACCCCATAGTCACGAGGACCTGCTGTTCACTGATGGAAACCGGTAATCTAAGCCTCGTCACTTGAACTGGTGAACCACATAAGACCCCGATAACTTTTTGATAGCAAGTTGAAATAGTCAATTATCTTATTTTGGTTACTCAATTGGTAACAACCGTGATTGTTCATGCATCTGTTGTCAGTCCTGTTTTGTGCCGATTGCATCTGAAATGAACTCGTTCATCTTTCTGCACTGTGGCAGGTTGTCACATTCATTGATCTGGCCGGTCACGAACGGTACTTGAAAACAACCATTTTCGGGATGACCGGTCACGCTCCGGACTATGCCATGTTCATGGTTGGCGCAAACGCCGGTGTGATCGGTATGGCCAAAGAGCATCTCGGTCTGGCTTTGGCTCTTGGTGTCCCCGTATTTGTTGTAGTCACCAAGATTGATATGTGTCCGCCCAATGTGCTCCAGGAGACCATGAACTTGCTTGTTCGAATACTGAAATCCCCGGGTTGCCGCAAAATTCCCATCCTCATATCGTCCAAGTGAGTCGTTCTGTGCGCTTTGTTTTTGTGTATGCCCTGGATTTCGAGCAATACACATAGTTTTAGGCTGTTATAATTCCACAAGTTGATGCCTGTTCGAAGATAGTCGTTTGTTGCAGACTACAGTCGGATATCGATGATTTCGCACACAAGACGTCTCATTTGAAACATGTCATCACAATTCCCGGCGGCACACATGCTAATGAATGGAATAGTCCGTAGTTATTCATTGGAGCACAGCAATTCGCTCTGAGTGTTGTCTATTTTTGACCGTTGAAATAAGCCACCAATTGCATCTTTTTGCTAACAACTCACAAATGTGAGTAGTATCTCACAACAGTGACCAGTATGCTTGGTCCTTTCGTTAGATTCATTGCCGTTTTTATGTCGCCGTAGCCACATTCGGTATACGTTTTGCACCTTCAAAGTGTAAAATGTTACTACAAGACTGGGTTGGTCCAGCACCCAGCCTCACTTTCACTGGGGAAGTAATAGAGCAGGTGGATAAATTTTGTTATCTGGGCAGCTACATCTCACCCGGTGGACGCATCACGGATAAAGTGTCAG